CGTCGGGTGGAGCTGCGCCTCCACTTAAGGTTGGGGACCTGGGTGGTATAGTCAAGGCCTTGCCCAACACGGCTCCGGGACTCGATGGAATGAGTGCGAGAATCGTGAGGAATGTGTGGATTGCGGCACCGAGGGAATTTCACTTGGTGTATGCCAAGTGTGTGGAAGAGGGAGTTTTCCCCAATGTATGGAAGGACGGAAGACTGATTGTCATTCCCAAGGGTAATGACAAGCCGCTCACCGACGTCAAGGCATACCGTCCAATAACGCTTCTCCCTGTTTTGGGAAAATTATTGGAACGAGTAATTTTAAGATGTGCTCCCGCGATTAGCCGCGGGATATCCGAGTACCAGCACAGATTTTCTCCGGGGCGGTCTACAGTCAGGCATGCTACGTGTAAGCAATATTCTTAGATATCTCCGGCGCCTTCGACAATGCCTGGTAGCCGATGATGATGGTCAAGGCCAAAAGGGGTGGATGTCCACCCAACATTTATAGAATGTTGGTGGACTACTTCACCTCCAGGCGTGTGGGCCTCTACATCGGAGACTGGGTAGAGTGGAAGACGTCGACCATGGGATGTCCTCAAGGCTCCGTGCTGGGCCCAACACTGTGGAATGTGCTGATGGACGACCTGCTCCGACTCCCTCTGCCCGAGGAAGTAGCCATGACTGCCTATGCCGACGATGTTACAATCCTGATTGAATCGGGAACGAGAGCGGGTATCGAATCCAGGGCCAGAGTCACTCTGGACCTTGTACGGGAGTGGGGGCTAAGGAATCGACTGGAGTTTTCCTCCTCAATGTCGACCACCATGACTGTTAGAGGGAAACTTCAGCCCCCCCCCCCCGCCCCCCGTTATTAAACTTGGTGGGGAATCTATTAAGACTGTGACTAATGTTAAGGTATTAGGCGTGGTTTTAGACTCGGGACTATTGTTTGTGCAACATGCATCCGATATCTCTGAAAGAGCGACCAAAGGATTCGGCAGGATGTCTCGCGTGTCTACATCATCATGGGGTGTACGATATCCGAGTTTAAAATTAATTTATAGAGGAGTGTTTGTGTCTACGCTTACGTATGCGGCAGAGTGCTAATATGAGCGCGCAAACATGTACACAGTTCGTAGCGTACTACTGAGATCGCAGCGATCCGCTTTTGTATTGTTAACCAAGGCGTACCGATCCACTAGCACGGCGGCCTTACCGGTGATGGCTGGCGTTCTCCCTGCTGACCTAGAGGTCATCCGCGCTGGTAGGATGGGTATAGCACGTTTGACCGCGCCCAAAGAGGAGTTGAGCAGACGGAATCTCGATATCTGGACTGAGGTGATCGGCGCCTGGCAGGATAGATGGACGTGTGATACAAAAGGACGTGAGCTACATCGATTTTTCCCGGACGTGGCGTTGAGATTCAGTTATACCTGGGTCTCACCGGACTACCAAACCTCTCAGATTCTCACCGGACATGGATGCTTTCGGAAGTGACTGAGCAACATGAAACTGTGTGAAATTAGTATGTGTGAGTGCGGTATGTCAGAGGAGGATGTTCACCATATTCTATGGGAATGTCCTCTGTATGATGACCTAAGAGTGAAAATGTATGGATGGACTAGTTCGTCCGGTTCAGGGACCAGTTTACTACTCGGATCTCGTCAGCGATGTGGTAAACTACGGACTGTTGCGCGAGTTTGCACATAGGTGGCACGATCGCAGGACAAGGCAGGATGGAAGGCTGGTAGGAGGGCCCGACGAAGTAGAAGTCAATGTGTGGTCAGCCCCAGAAGGGGGAGAATGACGTTAAACTGGGACAAGGAATAGATTAAATATTTGTAGGGAGTCAAGAAAATGTGCCCGGGAAAGAGCCACGTGCAAGTACCGCGCGCATCTCCCGAGATTCGGCCCGTATGACCTGAGGGTCGGAGGGGCCATGGGAGGTGGTGGGTTGTTGTTCTCATCTCTGGGGTGCCCCACCACAGTGCCAGCTCCTTCCACTTGACCGCATCCAACGGAGAGAGCGATTCGAATCGTCGACGATCGAGTTCTTTCTGTTCGGCTCGATACACTGGCACTGCGTAGAGAAGTTGCATCTCTTTGCGTATTTTATCGCATCTATCACGGGGAGTGCTCTGAGGAATTGTTCGGACTTATTCCAGCCGCTCAATTTCACCATCGCACATCGTGACAAAACTCGCGTTACCATCCATACCATCTGGATGATTGGCGGTCCACCACTGTGCGATTTAGAAGAAGTATTCTCCCTCGCTCAACTTCCTTGTGGAATCAATTACCACCAGTGAATTTTCCGGACCGATACGACTTAGGAACCTTCAAGAAAAGAGCTTACACCTTTCTAAAAGGCCGGCAACGCACCTGCAATTCCCCTGGTGTTGCGGTTGTTCATGGGCGGCGGTAGTCACTTACCATCAGGTGAGCCGCATGCTCGTTTGTCACCTCTTCTATAAAAAAAAACTGTCGGCTGTCTGCTGGCTCAAGTTGCCGTCAAAATCTCCCAAGGGCTGCACAATGTGACGCATCAACATATTGTGAAGCAGTATACTATGAAGGATATGTAATTATTATAATATATTGTAACTTCAGGATCAGAAGGGCTAGAACCCAGAGCCGTAAAGCCCGTTATTAAAAAAATGTGGGCGCTGGGCTAATGGATAGGCAAGGGAAAAAAATCGCATCGATATTTTTAAAAAGTGTCGATATATATCGCGTGATAAATATCGATATGCATGATGTAAAGATAAGGTCCATAATTTTATATTATTGACGGTTGGACGACGAAAAAGGAAACGGCAACCAACCACACGTGAATACCTCCTACCTCCTGTACCTCCTTTTGTTGTTACATGTTTTGTCATTAATACAACATTTTAAAATATATCGAAATTGATACGAATTCGATACTCGAAAATAAATATCGATATATCGCGATTTAAAATATCGGCGATATATCGTATAGATTTGGAAAAATAATAATAAAAATAATTTTTCCAAGGAAGCTTTTTTTCAAGATAAATTTTCTTCACTATTATGTCAGGTCAACCTGCTTTTAAAGCTAGACCTTTGTGTCCATTTTTATAAAGCTGCTCAATCGGACTAATTTTTTCCTATTCTTTTTGATCGAGACAAATACTGAACATAATATGCTTCTGAGAATTGTTTTTTCCTCTTACGGGTTTTATTTTAGATTCATCAAATTGATCAGAAGAATTACTGGGTTCATTTTCATCGTCTTTTAATTCATCAGAATAAGGATCACTGAGATCATCCTCATTATCTTTAGTGACTGAAACTGTATCTTTGGACAAACCTTTGTACTTTATATAATCAGACAGAAAATTCCCAACATTTTTTTTGTATTTTATATATAAATTCAAAGGTTTTATTGAATGTAAAGGTTGCTTATAATTCAATTTATTGCAGATTCCATCCAAACAACATCTTTTTTCTTTTTTAAAGAACCATTAGTATGAATGTCAAAGTTTATCAGTTGTTCAAATATTTGTTTGTAATTCAATGCTGGCTTTGGTCCTACCATTTTACAGTATACTATTTAAATAAGATTAGGCATAATTATCTTATTACAGTTTCAAGTTAAAACAAAACACTAATTATTAGAACACTAAGTATTAGAACACTTTTCTTTCTTTTTCTTTTTTTAGAAAACGCTTTCAAGTTAAAATAAAACACTTTAGAATCAATGACTGGTCAAAACCGATACAAAGTAATAGTAGATACTAGGCGAATGCATTGTCTTTTGTTTTCTTGTTATTAACAACCGTCTAAAATAAACTGATTCTGATTGGTCGTTTTTAAATGGAGATAAAATTTGAATGCTTATTAATAATTGAAAACTATGTTTAAATTGAAAAAAAAAATAATTATAAGAATTTTAAAATGTCAATAAGGAAAGTGATAAAAAAATCTAGAAATTGAGAAAGGAATTCATCATTATAAGAGTTTCAATTGTTTTTTTTTTGTTGCTCCTCGGATGCGTAGTTTTGCACTGAACTAATAAGGAGAGGGTACCGTGCAATTTCACGATTGATAAATTGAGTCTTTTTAACTTTTTGCAATTAGGATTGCATTTTATGGATTTTTATCGATGGCGGAGTTAGATTCAAGCGGGGTGCAGTTTTTGTAAATTATAAGAAGTACCGAATTGTAAGTATCTGAAGAGATATCGACGTTATAAGATACGCGATATTTACCTATTTTTTATTCATAAACTACGGGGGTGCGGTTTAAATAATAAAGATTTTTGAGAAGTGCTATTAAAAACACATCTATGCGTATTTTTATTTATATCTATATCCCAAATTCGTAGGCTTGGGTAGGGTAGCTTAGAAACACTACACGTTGGGCGCATTATAAACTTAGTGTTCTGTGATTATAAAAAGTTTTGTGTATTCTGTGTTGATTCTGTGATAAATTGTAATAATAAAAAGAGAATGGCCTAAAGGTCTAGATACCAGGCCATAAGCTCCAAAAAAAAAAACAAGAGAAAAGTCCGGTTTCCGGTTTGTTGATGAAAAAGAGAATTCAATATTGATATTATAATAGTGTTCTGCTGTTCTGTGATTCAATACATAGATAAATATATATGTAGCAAGATTCAATAGGTCGGGGGAGTGTGAGGTGCACAGAATACTTTACTCCTAGCGGAGAAGAATGTTAACTCCATATAAAATGGATAGGAACAAAATTCAGCGCCATCTACCGTTGGCGCACATACAACAAATTTGAGCGGGAAAATTCGAATCGCAGAAATTAACTTTTTTTCATCGATCTGGTTTTTCCAAGATTTATTCTATTAAAAAATATGTTTCTATCATTAAACATTATTTCTATAAATTTATCTCTAGAATTATAATAATTAATTATTTTAGAAACATATTTCCTAATAGAATAAATCTTGGAAAAACCAGAATCGGTCACAGTTATGTATTTCTGACGAGGAATACAAGTTATAGTAAAATATAATTTATGCTTACAAATTCATTTATTCATAACAAAAGATATAGAAAAAAAAAACAAATATAATTAGCCTATTAAATTGTTTTAAATTCATTTAAGTTAGTATATTGGAATTACAGGTGTAGCGTAACTTAATATTTAATGAAACATGTTTAAATTATGCAAAATTCTTACAATATTCACACAGAAAATAACTACAATAATATGTAATCAATTTAAATAAAATATAAAATATGTCGACAATTTGAATTTTGTTTTAATAGAAAAATTGGCCTTTACATCTAAAGATGATTTATACAGCGTCAATAATTTTACAACAGCTATTCTAGACGCTGTAGTGCCTGGGACATCACGAATCCAAACTAATAAGTTTGGATTGCAAGTATAGTAAATCTTAATTTATGTTTACAAATTAATTTCTCTATAAAAAAAGATACCGAAAAAAAAATATAACTAAACTATACAAAAATGTATTAAATTTAAATAAGTTGGCATATTGGAATTACAGTTTACAAAACAATGTTTAAATTATGCAAACTTCTTGCAATTTTCACATAGAAAATAACTATAATAATATATACTCAATTTAAATATAAAAATGTCGACAATTTGAAACAGAAACATAAACTTGTTTATTCAATATAGATTATATATAATACTTATTGAAAATCACTCTTTTGTTTAATTACCACTGGTTCGAAAAAAAACCTCTGTCCTGGGAAGAACCAGCAAGAAACCCAGCGGGTTTTTTTAAATAGCTTACAATCATGTATGTTACACAATTAACAACACAACAAATTAGAAATAGCTTGGTAGCGATCACCTCATTCCCAGGGGTTATTATCATCCATAAATTCCTTAACTTTATAATAACCCTTTTTATACAAACTTAGTTTAATAAAGTTTTTGAACTTTGAGCAAGTCAAATTTTGTATATTTTCTGGAATTTTTTTGTAAAGGCGTATAATTCGCCCCAAGAATGAATTACTGACTCGGTGGAGTAGAGTAACTGGTACTATTAGCTTGTGTCTGTTCCTAGTATTTACAGAATGAATATCACTTATGTTTGTAAAACTACTTTTATTTTTGTGTACGTACATTACATTTTCATAAATGTATTGAAAGGCCAAAATTAATATATTAATTTTCTTAAATATTTGTCGCAGCGACTCTTTAGGCTTTAAATTATAAATTGCTCTTATAGCCATCTTCTGTAAAACAAATATAATTTCAGTGTCAGCTGCGTGTCCCCACAGCAAAATACCATACGACATTATGCTATGGAAATAGCTAAAGTAAACTAGTCTAGCTGTTTCAACACTGGTTAGACCTCAATAATAATAATAATAATAATAATAAGGTTAGAAATAACCTCAATAAATTATTTAATGTGCTAGGTGATGGAAGGCACCACATCCTTCTTAATAATCGGTAGCACGTTGGGGACCTTTTAAATAACCTCAATGCGATTACTTTTTCGTCGAATGTCCACCTTCTGCCTTTAAATTTCTTTTTATCATTTTTCAATTGAGCCTGTAGCATCAGCGCAAAAGACGGCGTCAGCCTCTGCATTAGTTTTGCTACAGACTCATTTTTTTCTAAAATGTTGAGGGCATCTCCTTTTCTCATCTTCTGAATTGTGCTTTTTAGTTGACAAATTTTTTTCACTTGTCTTCTACATTTGTTGTATAAATAATTTTCTCTGTCAGTTTTTTTAAAAGTTTGTTTCTGTATTTCTTTACAGACAATCATCTGAAACAAAAGCATTAACAATTAATTACTAATTTGTGCCTTTGAGTGAGTGAGTGAGTGTGGAGGTACCTACTTATTATGGATAATTTTATTAATTAGATATTTTAATTGCTCTTTTTAGATATAATCTAGACCCCATTTTCTAAAAGAAATTACAAGAATTGAGATGATGATTAATCTAGATAAAACTGTTAATTATTACCAACTCTAAAGAAACAATATTGTTTACTTTTATTGTAGGTACCGATTTTTCATTTGGAATGGCTGGTCCAATAATTTTATACGAGTTTATATGAGTAGTATAGTTGTAGCACGAATTGGTCGGCTCGACAGGGGAAGGACCACGCTCTCACAGAATACCGGCGTAAAATAGCAGCTTAACGCTGCTGTGTTTCGTATGGTGAGTGTAGAGAACCGGAGACCCTTTTTACTGGAAAAGAGGCATTCCATCTTAGTCCTCACGGGTGACAACGCATCTGCATCTTGAGTCTTTATTGAGGATAGATGTAGATGTCTATGGGTCACAGTAACCACTTACCATCAGGTGGACTGTGTGCTCGTTTGTCACCCTTATTCCATAAACAGTTTGTCAGCCTATCCTATAAAAAAAGACATTTTTGGGTAGGTATTTGAGGAGCGCTAAAAACTTGTCAAATACCTATTACCTACCCAAAAATGTCTACCAGCTCTCATACAATTTGTTTGTCACCCTATCCTATAAAAAAAAAAATTGCTAAGGCTGAACACTGTTTACAAATTGATTTCACTAACTTATGCTAGTAAAACTAAAATTATTCATGTCGGCTCTAACTAGCTACTCAATTTTGATAAGAAAATCGAAGTAATCGCGCATAGACACCAGTGCTTGCATGTTTTGGAAACAAATATGACCGGTTGCAAATTTGAGTTGTTAGAGCAGGTTCCTCGTTACAAATACTTAGGACTAGAAGTCGATAACTGGGGTTATCATATTGACACAATTTGTGACAAACTGAGAGCAATGTTAGCTAAATTTGCTATCTTGAAATACAAAGTACCATTTAAAATATTACTAAATCTATATAATGCACTCGCAGAGTCAATAATTTCATATGGGATCACTAGCTATGGTAGGACATTTAAAACTTATTTGGACAAAATATACAGCCTTCAACTTCGGTTTTTAAAAATTATAACTCCTAATAAAATTAAAAATCAATCTGCTCCGATGACGATGTATTTATTGCCCTTATTTAAATATTGTAAAATCTTACCCGTTCATATAAAAATAAAAATGTGGCTATTAATTGCACAATTTACTAACAAAGAACTACAAATAAAAGTAAATCATAAAATAACGACACGGAAAGTAGTTCAATCAAAACTAGAAATACTATTTTGATTATATTTAATACCAACTCTCATTAACGACATACCAAGTAAAACCCAATTAGAAATAACGGATAATATTATATATATATAGGATTATATTGTTTTTCTTTTCATTAAATAAATAAAAAAAAATTAAGGTGATAGCTGTCAAAAGGTATTTCTTAGATTTCGTGGATAGGATAGGTACTTACTTTATCATTCTGAATTTCAGTAATCATACTCTCCTTAACTGACGGGTCTGGTTGACACTTGACTTGACTTGACTTTGGGCTAGAGCTTGAGCGTGCAAAATATTTTATAGGTATATGTGTTGGATTAGCAGAAGCTTACGTCATATTAGCTATCTGTGGGGCAAATTTCAGCCTAAACCCCATCCATTGGTTTGAGCTGTGCGTGTTGATAGGTCAATCAGTCCAGTCAGTAACATTTTCTTTCTAAATATATAATAGATATAAATGTAGAAAAGGTAGGTACTTACTTTGTGGTGCTGTGTATAAGAATTTGTAATGTTCTTAAGAACATTGCAAAAAGATGGACCTGGTTGACACTCGAGATCTTGAGCTGCAGCTTGATTCTGCAAAATAATAAGTCATTTATTTTCCAGACTAAGTGTAGCGCTAGTGCTACATATATAATCTGTTTGGTGGACTATTACAAGATATTATTATTATTATTTTTATAATACTTTGAGGTCTACATTCAAACGGCTAGTTTATATGAAACATTAAAAAGGATATTAAGTGGTTTTAAAACTATAATGAAGAATATAATAGGATTTAAAACTTTTTTAGCATTTTTATAAGGGTTTCTTTTTTCGTCTTGAGGCTAGTTGAGGCACAGAACCCTAAAAATGCTAAGAACGGTATTTTTGGCTAGTACCATAGAAGTGCACCTGCTACTTCAAAATTAGGTACATTGCGAGTAGTAGAAATTGCAACTGTACCACTTCAGTGGAATAATAGCAAAAAGTAGCCAAGGATTATTATTTAATGTTTTATTGGTAGTATACTTACTTTGTGATATTGCATTTCAGTAGTCGTAATATTCTCAACAAGGGAAGGACCTGGTTGAGACTTGAGATCTAGAGATGAACTTGATCCCAGATATTCTTGCAATGCTAGAGTTTGATCCTGAAAAATAACATTATCAATTATTATTAAGACAAAGTTAGGGACAAAAGTAAGAGTGCTACAACAATACCTAACATTTTTATTGAATTTGAATTACATAAATAAAAAAGAATGCCTACATTGAAATATATAAAATATTAGCAATCTGCCTCTGCTTCGCAAGGGCGATTTCTAGATATCGACAAAAGCACCACCTACCGGGTTCAAATGTGAACCTAAACCATCTAGAAACCCATTCAAACACAAAAAAAATTATCACAATAGGTTGAGCCGTTTTTGAGTTTTAGCAAGACCAATGGACAGCAATCAATTTGCATTTGGTACATTGCGAGTAGTAGAAATTGCAACTGTACCACTTCAGTGGAATAATAGCAAAAAGTAGCCAAGGATTATTATTTAAATTTTTATTGGTAGTATACTTACTTTGTGATATTGCATTTCAGTAGTCGTAGTATTCTCAACAAGGGAAGGACCTGGTTGAGACTTGAGATCTAGAGATGAACTTGATCCCAGATATTCTTGCAATGCTAGAGTTTGATCCTGAAAAATAACATTATCAATTATTATTTAGACAAAGTTAGGGACAAAAGTAAGAGTGCTACAACAATACCTAACATTTTTATTGAATTTGAATTACATAAATAAAAAAGAATGCCTACATTGAAAAATATAAAATATTAGCAATCTGCCTCTGCTTCACAAGGGCGATTTCTAGATATCGACAAAAGCACCACCTACCGGGTTCAAATGTGAACCCTAAACCATCTAGAGACCCATTCAAACACAAAAAAATTATTGAATTGAAATGAAAAAGTATTGAATATTGATATGGGTTAATGCAACTGACATTGATGCCATATTTGTTTTGCAAAAGAGAGCCGTATGGGCGATTTATAACTTAAATTGTAAAGAGTCCCTTAGAGAAAATTTTAAAGAAAACTGGCATCGCAATATATTTATTAAAATGTAATGTATGTATATAAAAACAAATAGCAGGATTCTATGTGTAATGTGGGGGCCGCAGTAGTTGTACAACAAAAACACTATTAATGTAGAAGTTAAAGTAACTTGATACCTAATATGTATATGAAAAGTACAAACAAACTTACCGAATAGCATTTTTAGGCCCAGGTTTAGGAAACCGAGACAGTTTAATGCCTGGCACTTGTTTGGAAGATCGCCCACATTTTGCACATTTCCTATAAATGTTGGGTGCCATAGTGAAATAGGTAAGAAGGTGGATATCTAATTAAGTTCACAATTTTACACAAACTATGAAAAGAGTCCGTATCTCACTTGAGTTTATCAACTTGTCACCAACAACACTGCTCTGGTTCGACCGACACTAATGCGGAGGAGCGAAATTCACTCAACTCAACGCAATAATAGAAGTGTAATAAAGTAACAAATTAAAGGAAAAACAAAAACAACATCAATCAACAAATCGTCACAAATCGTTGAAATTTGAAGTGAATGAAAACGTGCACGCTTGTTTTTTTAATTTTTAAGTGCTGCCATTTTATAAATTAAATATTCTTCTATAAACATGGACAAGATAGCCGGTATTTTATAGGATGCATTTCGGTGAGTGTGCGCAGGAATTACACGCTTTAATTCCTTCCTCCCCTTTCCGTCATTGGACAACCAGGCGGTCGGCGGGTCTTCACCCCTTAGTTGCCGATATTCTACGCATTATTATTTGCTTCGTCTTTTGTAATGCAAAGCAGTGGAATAATTTGCCAGCGTTTATCTTTCCGTCCGAATACAATCTAGGTGCCTTCAAGGCAAGAGTGAAAAGGCTTTTGTTACGCTAAGACAGTGCGATTTACCATCTAGGGCTACATCACCACTTACCACCAGATGGGATCGTGGTGAAGCACTGGTTTATAATAAGTTAAAAAAAAGATCTGTTGCTGATGCTTTAATCAAGTTTATTTACTGATCAAACGTAATCAATATTTTTCTTTATACCAGTTTGTACAACTACCAGTTTGTAAAGCGCAGTCTATAGGACGATTTTTTGGAAAACTCAGATAATTCCCAAATTAACAAAATCGAAAGAAAATCCAGAATAACAAATTAAAAAAAAAGCAACATAGTATTTTAAAATCAATAGATAGATACAAAATCAATTGGTGAATACTCTCATTTTAGAGGTTTTCAAATAACTTGGCAATTTTGTGGTAGAAATCTGGTAAAACAAATGACCAAATAAATAATTTTGTTACCGCGCCATCTACGCGGTTTACTAAGTACTACATCGATCTGCGAAGCCGACGTAGTTCTTAGCGAATTTAGTCGATGACGCTACTGTTTATTAATGCCGCATAGGTCCCATACATTAGTTGACAAGGCCTGGTGAGGTGTACATGTACATGTGTCGTTGTGTTTTTGGCTATTTCTTATTCTAAGAGCTGTTGATTTACTTTTTTGTTTAGTATTTCGATTGGTGTTGGTTTTAGTAGTTATAAATCCGTAAGTATTTAGTAATTGTGCTGTTTTACATGTAATTAGTTAAAATAAAATGGAGGAAGATCCTCCCGATCCCGACGGGGTTCCATGTGACTCCCATACTGTTACCAAAAAACATAATAATATGCCTATCGAAATTCATCAGTCGAAGCGTAAAAGATTGCAAGTAACCAATAACTCAGCTCATCCTCAAAAGATTAATTATAGATCCATCTCAACCTGTACCATCTATTCAGACCTCTTATACCCATCCTGACTACATAGAAAAAAAACATAAATATTCTAATAACGACAATGCGCCGTTTATTGTTCATGTAAGTAAGAGAGTAGATGATTTATCAACTGGAGTAGTTTTAAAACCGATAAAGTTTGGTCATTTTCTCTACCATAATAATATTAAAAATGTTGTTAGTGATGGTGTTAAGCGAATAGGACGCAATAGAATTTCTGTCGAGTTTAAAAGTGCAGCTGATGCAAATTGTTTTATTGAGAACCCAGCCCTTGCAGGTGCTAAATATGATACTGTAATCCCTTCTTATAATGTCACACGCATGGGAATAGTGAGGCAGGTCCCTGTAGAGTGGACATTAGAGAAACTCATATCATCAATCGAGGTCCCAGCTGGTTTTGGCTCAATTATTAAAGCTCGCCGATTTAATAGAAAGTCAGTTAATGAAAACCAAAGTACTGTGTGGATTCCCTCTCAAACAGTTGTTTTAACTTTTTCCGGCCAAAAACTTCCTTCTAACATTTATTGTTTTTTCACCTCAATGCCTGTTGAGCCCTACATTTTATCTCTTATTCAATGTCACAAATGTTGTCGTTTTGGACACGTAACCTCACAGTGTAGGTCATCTTCCCGTTGTTTTGTGTGTGCTCAAAATCATGAAGGAATATCATACACAAGACAGTCTCCCACTTGCCTATTTTGTTCAGGATCTCACACGGCTAAAGATCCTTACTGCCCTGAACACTAGGTAGAGATCTATCAAACTTACCATGTCACAGGAAAATATTTTCTATCTAGAAGCATCTGCCCGTTTCCCTCAAGTCCGAAGATCTTATGCAGATGCTGCTAGAATCCTTCCTTCGTATGATCATCAGAGTCTCTATCCTATTTCAAATTCCACTTTACCTTCAGTTGTCCCCTCACAATCTCATTCTTACAGGAAAACTACATTTACTCCAAGACTTCCGCCAAATCCAGCATCAAGTCATGGATATGATAAATCTGCCCATGAGGCAATAATAGATACCCTTTCTTCTTCAACTACTAATGGTTGTGCTTTAATAGGGCGGAGTATTTCCCCTAATGACAATCTCTGTGAGTTAATGATCTCCATGCTTTATAAGTATGCTTTCCTGTTTCAGCTATATGGATCTCCCACTTGCCCTCCGCCAAAAACTTACTGAGCTCATTTCATTAACAAATAACCTTCCCTCCAATACTTCAGTGGAACTGCCAGAGCATTAATAATAAAAAAAATGAATTAATTTACCTTATTAATAAATACCATCCCCTCATCCTAGCCATCCAAGAGACATGGCTTAAGCCTGGGTCCCATTTTAGGATATCAGGTTATTCATGCCTCAGGGATGATTACTTATACATTAATTTCCCTTCCTTCTCATAGTCCTTCAATTAATGCTGTAGCAGTTAGAGCTCATAACACTTCTTTTCTCTCTATTTACATTCCCGAACCTAGTTTAAATATCTTGTCAGAACTTACGAGGATTATATCCTCCATCCCTCCTCCTACGGTAATTCTTGGTGATTTTAATATGCACCATACTTTATGGGGCTCCCATTTTTGTGATCCCTGGTCTTCTACATTTTTAGACATCATTGATGATTTAGATCTCTGCCTCCTTAACGATGGTTCACCTACACGTAGAGTATCCCCCCTCCAAAATCCTAAAAGTGCAGTAGATCTGTCACTCTGTTCTCCTACCCTGTTGTCCCTTCTTTCTTGGGGAATATTACCCTTTTCCCATGGTAGTGATCATTTCCCTATTGTTATTAATCCCCCTAGCTCCTATACAGTCAATGTTCCATTTAATCCTAGGTTAAAATATAACACATCCAAAGCAAACTGGCAACTATATTCCACAGTTCTAGAGGAAGAACTATCAGCCCTTCCTCCTGTTCAGAAAGATAATGTTCTTCAGGTGTATTCTACTTTTAAAAATGCTATTTTATCTGCTGCCAATAAGACAATACCCATCAAAAAACCTTATAAAAATAATGCTGCTGCTGCTTGCTGGGATCAAGATTGTTCTGTAGCATGTAAGAAGAGAAAGGAAGCTGAAGTAAGATATTCCCTCTCTATGAATTTTGACAACTATATTTTTTATAAAAAAACTGCTGCTGAAACATTAAAATTATTATCTGGGAAGGAAAAGGCTGGATGGCTTAAATTCTGTGAGTCACTGTCGCCTAGGACTTATCCATCATTAGTCTGGAAAAATATTAAAAAATTCCTATGTTCAGTTTTGGCCTCTGAAAACACAATTTCTAATGATCAGTCTTATTGGCTAGAAAATTTTGCTAGTAATCTTGCTCCTCCTTCAGTACCATCTTACAATGAAAGTATAGCATTTCAATCACGGTCCTTGCACTATCAACACAGTTTTGACTCCCCTTTCTCTTATGAGGAGTTATATGCTGTTCTTAGTGTCCTTAAAGACTCTTCACCAGGAATCGATGGAATTCCTTATTCTTTTATTACTAATAGCAGTGAATCTACTAAAGCCTATCTTCTTTCTATTTTAAATTGTATTTACATGTCCAGTATTCCTCTTGAAGAATGGAAATCCCAAGTTATTTTACCTATTTACAAACCATGTAAGCCTCACACTGATCCTTCAAGCTACCGCCCTATTGCTCTTTCTTGTACCATGGCCAAAATTCTTGAACATCTAATAATAAATCGTTTAGAATGGTTTCTTGAAAGCAAAAACCTTCTAGCAAAAAGTCAATTTGGATTCCGAAAGGGCTTAAGCACCATGGATAGCCTTAGTACTCTAGTTACTGATATTCGTATAGCTTACTCTAAACATGAATACCTTGTTGGAGTCTTTCTAGATATCTCGTCTGCATATGACAATGTACTTCTTCCTGTGCTCAGGCAAAAAATGCTTAATCTGAGTATTCCAGTGAGGATAGTAAATTTTGTCTCTAACTTTCTCTCTTCTAGATCCATTTATATTGATAGTCAAAATTCTCTACTCCCACCAAGAATTGTATGGAAGGGTCTCCCACAAGGCTCAGTACTTAGTCCTTTGCTCTATTCTATCTATACTTATGATCTAGAACTTTCTGTTAACTCATTCTGTAACATCCTACAATATGCAGACGATATAGCTATATATATTTCCTTGGATAACCTTGCTACAGCTTGTTCCCGCTTGAATTTATCAATGTCCTATTTACAAGATTGGTTAACTGATCATGGTTTGTCCTTGTCTGTTCCCAAAAGCAGTGTTATCATCTTCTCTCGCCATAGGCAACTCTCTGAAATCGACATTCTCTATAATAATGAACCTATCCCTATTAGGGAGAATGTAAAATTTTTGGGAGTTATTCTTGACTCCATACTAACCTTTTCTCATCATATCAACTGTGTCTCCAAAAAATGTGAAAAAAATATAAATATTCTTCACGCTTTATCTGGAGTTTGGTGGGGCTCCCACCCATTCTCTCAAAAAATATTGTACAACGCCCTTATTCATAGTCATTTGGATTATGCGTGCTTTGTCTTGGAACCATGTAATAAGTCTTCCCTAAAGATCCTAGACAGGATTCAGACGAAAAGCCTTCGTATAATCATTGGGGCAATGAAATCTTCCCCAATAAATGCTCTCCAAGTCGAATGTGTAGATCCCCCTCTTTACCTAAGAAGACAATGTCTTTCGGACCGATTCTTTTTTAAAATCTATCAACTCTCTTCCCATCCTCTCATCTCTAAATTACACCTTCTTTTGGAATATATTTCATCAAAGCATTACTGGACTCATAAAGAATATCCCTGCTTATCCAACAGTTTGATAACATTACTCCATCTACCACACCCAGTATCACAATGCAAGTCCTGTCCCATCTTTGATATCCCATATGATGCAATTATTTTCCAACCAAATATCCACCTCGACCTTGGTATTGAGAAAGATTGCCCTATAGCAAATAGTAAACTAAGTAGAGTCATAGATAATTTATGGAAAGGCTGGCTTATTATATACACTGATGCCTCCAAAAAGTCAGGTGAAAGTTGCACTGGAGCAGCAGTTTGGATTCCCAGATACAAAATAATCCTCAATTTTAAATGCCCTTCTATTTCTTCCACTTTTACTGGCGAGGCCACGGCAATTTATGAAGCTTTGATTTATATAGAAGCACACAACTTAAATAAGTCAGTTATTCTTACCGACTCCAAAAGCTGTTTGTTAGCAATTTTGTCAAACCAGTTCCAAAGTAAATATAAGATACCCTTGATCCTCAAAATTAAACACACATTGTATAGATGTCATCTCAAGGGCATTCAGGTTTCCTTAGCTTGGATTCCAGGTCATAGTGGCATCAAGGGCAATGAAACAGCTGATCTGATGGCTAAAAATGCAAGTCGAAATGGTTTGCCATGTAATTTAATTTACTCTTCAGACATAGTGTTACTTGCAAAAAAGAAGTTAAGTAATAATTGGAACACATTATGGAAAGCCACTCAAAATATAAAAGGTAAACACTATGCTGCTATACAGTGTGCCATCCCAAAACCATGGTTTTTCAAATTTAATAAAGCTAACAAACAGCCAACATCAACTATTTGTAGACTTAGAATTGGCCATGCTTGTACACCAGTACATTTAGCCAAACTGAGTATTAGGGATAGTTCCCTCTGCGAATATGGGTTAGATGAGGGAACCTCTGACCACATTTTTTTTAACTGTCCTAAATTATCTTGTTCACTCTATGATCATCTCCCTCCTGACTTCCCTCGTCCTATAAATTTTGATTCACTTTTAACCTACACAAATACGCCTTATGTATATATTCTGTGTGATTTTATTAACACTAATAGTATAAAAGTTTAATGTTTGTCAATACTAATATACTAACGTAGTTATAGCAAATGTGTTTGTCATTTGTTCTAGGTAATTCAACAGTACAACTACTAGTATTACAAGATAAAAAGGAAAATTTAATTGTTTAAATAAAACAAGATACTTGTATTATCACAATCTTCTTTAGTACATGGGCATAATATTTGTAACTACTGAGCTTGTACTCAATAAACACTTCCACGCTGACATTGGCGAATAATCAAAAACCGCCATAAAAAAGAAAGAAGAAGAAGAAGAATTCAATAATCAATTTTAATAAAGCTATAGAAAACAGCAATGGCCTTTAGTGAAGGTGAAATTTGTAGAATTTGTTTAAGCGTTAATATACGCATGTTTGCACTAAAGGAGACTGGCCTCCAAAATTTGTATAAGACATTGACGAACAGTTTTGTAAGTTTTTTAATATTTATTTATTTCATCATCAACTTCATTTAAGTTGCGGTAATTTGTTGTTATCACTGGAGAAATACATTATGATGCCCGATATATGTTCTAAGATGTAGCGTTAAATATAGTGACAAATACAACCAGAACCTTAAAAATAACAATTTGCCTGGTACCCTGGGTCGCACTAACATCAGTATTATCATTTAAGTAAATCTAGTAGGGTATACTTGGGTACGCAAGGAGTGGCATGTTGCGCAACATGTCTCTCAACTAATACGTGGAATGTCCCGAGACATGTCGCGGAACGAGACAGGCCACAATAGTCAGAAGTCAGTGCTTTTAGAAATGTCTCCCAAAGAAGTTGTGGCGATTAGTGCTGTGGACGTAGTGCTTATTGCGGGAGTGAAACGTAAGCGAAAGAAAAGGCGGTGGATTCAGAATTCCTTACTACAATGAGAAGGAAGAGGAATTGATATTTTAAGTGATCTCCGAATATCTGACGGATCTTTTGTGAATTTTACTCGAATGTCAACATCTGATTTTGAAACGTTATAACAAATGATTGGACCTTCCATAACCAAACAGGATACTATACTATGGAATGCTGTTGCCCTCATATCAGTATCAGACTTGCAATTGCATTAAGATACTTGTTGACTAGAGTTTTTTATGCTTCATTGTTGTACACTTTTCGAGTGTTGAAACAACTGATCGGCAGAATAGCACCAGGAGTTAGTGGTTAGAAGTATCCCATAACAAAACACGACTCTGGTAAAGTTTAAGAAGTAAAAGCACGGTTTAATTTCCCCACACAACTGACATGTTGCAAGTAAAGTTTTACACACAACTACACCCGGTAACAAATGACGTGACACTGACGCCGGACACGTGCACTCTCTCGGAGAGGGAATAAGCAACATGTCCCATATCACTTACAATGTTCTGGGTCACTGTGCAATGTAGCATCGTCATGTAGATTGAGTGTTCCACATCATCTTGTGGGACAAAATGGCCCCTAGTGTATCTGGGTCTTAGTTTAGTATAGTTTACGACGGGCTGATTTCCGCAACTCCACGTCTATGCGCGTATTTTGCGTGTGGGCGGGAATAATATGCTTATTCGAGCCATGAAATCTCCCCGAAGATGCTCAACAGTCCTTTGATGTTGCATGCAACTTCGGGGAGTGATCTCGGCGTGCCGAGATGTTTAGCCCTGTACGTAGCGACCTCCGGACATTTCAATATCACATGGGCCGCCGTTTCTTCTTCCCCAGACATGCCCTGCACAGGGGACTATCTGTAACACCTATAGTAAATAAATGTTTGTTAAAGTTGCCGTGTCCTGTGATAGCACTTGTTACTATCCTGATCTGCGGCTTGTTCAGTCTCATTAGAACTTTGGTTAACCAACTGTTTATTTCAGGCAGGGCCTCCCTAGCTTGTCTACAGTCTACTAAATTTTTCCAAAGCTGAGCGTGTTGATTAGTGAAGTGTCAAATATCTGGGTCTTAATTGTACTACATTCTCCTTCCATTCCTTCCATGCAACCCGCACTGCTGCATAGATTTTGTTCCTGGTGTCTGTTCTAGTACATATTACTTGAATGACTATTATTGTGATTTTCTATCAAGAAATTAACATTTACCCTGGTTTGATTGTTCAGCAAATTAAAACAGTTCTATCGGACTATTAACATGAGAGAATAGAATAGAAAGAATTATTATCATTATTTTATATGTGGTAGAGCCGGACTGCAGCTATATTATGGTTGTATCATGGATGGGTCGGCTCGACCGGGGTGGTACTACACTTTCACAGAATGTGTAGTACCACCCACCACCCTGTGTTTTGTTTCAATATCCTCCTACCACAAGCATTATCAGTTTACTTAGAGTGATAAGAGAAGTATTTGTAATGTTCTTAGTGATGATAGCAGTTTGAAGTTAATGTAGGTAATGTAGTTGATGGATGTAGGTGGCTTGGAACTGTAGGAGTTTCTTTCTGCCTAGATATCATCCTCTTACCATTTTCTGGCACCAAGCAGCAGTATGTGTCCCAGTCTGAAGGACATCGAGAGGCAGGCTGTGATGCATTACATCTTAGTCTTCAGAGGTAACATTGCATCTATAGCCATTGCTTGAAGTTCATTGCAGGTGCTCATGATGCCCATTAGTCACTTACTAGATGGTAAGTTTATTTGTCACTTCAATATTGTAAAAAAAGATATTGACAAATTAAAATGTGGTAGCCTATAATCTTTATTACAAACTTATATACAGTAGAACGCCGATTATCCGAATTAATTGGGACCGGGGTCGATTCGGATAACCGAAAATTCGGTTATAGACTGGTATGTTATATAGAAAAGCGAACTGTCACACATATAATAAACTTTATTAAGTTTATAAATGGTTTTACACTTTATAAAGTTTTATAAAGAGTAAAACCAGCTACAGCCATTTTTTCACTGAACATTCGTGCCTTTTCACATAAAATCGACCCTGAAGTCGGTTGTCCAATAGATCGTTGCTGCAGAAACCACGTAAAAACAGCATTCTCTTTTGCCTTTTTCATTACTTTTCGCGACGAACATCCATCACCACTTTCCAACGCGGTCACAAAACTTAAAATTTTTTCACTGTTATTTTTAATATCAGTTAACCAAGTATTGTGTAAGTAATCTAAGTAATGTTACTTACTGTACTTGGTTATAATTTTTTATATTAAGCTTAGGACCGATTCGGATAATTGGCGATTCGGTTAATCGGCGTTCGGATAATCGGCGTTCTACTGTATTTGCATACTATTTCATGTTGATGAAGATTTTTATATTTGCAGTTGGATGAGATTGAGGGGCCAATAATTGTCTGTTTCACCTGTCATGCAAGACTCATTCGTTGCAGAAGATTACAACAACAGGCTATTGAGTCAAATGTGGTTCTGGAGCAGTTGCTTTCAGGAGGATCCATGGTATTATCCATTCCATCCATTAAAACCTATAAAAGTCCACTGCTGAACATAGGTCTCACTCATAGATTGCTTCATAGGAGGGATTTTGCCAAATTTGCCACACTTGGCAAGTTGGCAACCATAGTTTATATTAGTTGGAGTCATTATCAGGAAGATGCGGCAGCCCTACCTCTGTTTCTGTTTCCTTCTGTTGCCTCTTACGACACCCATCCCATGGATAGGTATATAGGATAGTGCAGGGGTCGGCAACCTGCGGCTCGCGAGTCACATGCGGCTCTTTGGATGTGAAGCTGCGGCTCTTTAGTGTCATACGCAAATATTATTTATTTTATAAAAAAATTACAAATCGATCCATACTCAGCCATTTGGGGTTGATACTGGATCTCTAGAAATGCAATTGATCGATTTAAAAAGTAAAGCTTTGTGGAGTTGAAAATTTACAGAGTTGATAAGGAAGTTGAAAAAGTTGGAGGTCCAGAGATGTACGTAACGCAACAATAATTTAAAATTAAAAATTTTGTACAGCCGACTTCAATATAAGTTATTTAAGAATAACTTAAAAACTATTGGTCTGACCTTGATCAAATTCATATGGGACCACACGAGAAGTACCAGCTTTCAAATAAAAAAAGAATCATCGAAATCGGTTCACCCAGAAAAAAGTTCTGAGGTAACACACAAAAAAAAAACGAAAAAAAAAACATATAGTCGAATTGAGTACCGGCTCCTTTTTGGAAGTCTGCAGAAAATGAACAGCTTTAAAAGAAATGCTGCGAGTTGAGTTATATTCGACGCATGGAATGGTCTTCCAGATTGCTATAGTGAGGTGAAGAAGTTGGCATTTGGAGTGCTGACTATCTTCGGATCGACATATTCGTGCGAGCAAGCGTTCTCTTGCATGAATATAATTAAAAGTAAAGTAAGAAGCCAACTAACAAATGAAAATTCAGATTCGTGTTTGAAACTTAAAACAACAAGCTAGGAGCCAAATTTATCCAAACCTTCTAAAACCATGCAAAGCCAAAACTACCATTGAATTTGTTTGCTCAATTGTTTGTACTTGAAGATAAGTTAGTGTTGTAAGACTTACAATGTAAATAAATGTTTGTTTTAATTTTTTACTTAAATAATAAGTGATTTTCTAATAATACCATATATATACGAGGGGTGATCCAAAAGTAATGATAATGAAAATAAAACACGGTAATTAAAGTTAAAATAATAATTTATTTTTCTACATAGTCTCCTAACAAATCAATACATTTAGTCCATCTTTTTCCTAAACCCAGGATTCCCTTTAAAAAAATTCTTTGTCTTGACCCTCCTAAAACGCTTCAACAGCGGCCATTACTTCGCTATCGTCTTCGAATTTCTTGCCTTGGAGGCGTTCCTTGAGCCGAGGAAAGAGGTAGAAATCACTAGGAGCTAGATCTGGCGAATAGGGAGGGTGTTCGAGCAGTTCGAATCCCGTTTCTTGAATGGCAGCCATCGCAACTGCGACTTTGTGAGCCGGTGCGTTGTCTTGGTGAAACAGCACTCCAGCTCGCAGTTTGCCGCGTCTTTTTTCCTTAATGGCCACCCGTAATCTTATTATTTGTTCTGCGTAGTAAGAGCTCGTAATAGTGGCTCCCTTTTCCAAATATTCCACCATAATTATGCCTTGAGCGTCCCAAAAAACAGATGCCATAACCTTTCCCGCCGAACTTGAAACTTTGAATTTCTTTGGCGTCGGTGAGGAGGCTCGCTTCCAAGTCATCGATTGTTGTTTCGTTTCAGGATCAAAATGGTGTATCCAGGTCTCGTCCATAGTCACAAAACGGAACAAAAAATTTTCTTGATCTGCTTGGAACTTTTCGAGATTGACCCTCGAAATGTCAACTCGATTTTTCTTTTGCTCGTCGGTTAACATTCTGGGTACCCAACGCGCAGAGACCTTTTTCATATGCAACTCGTTCGCAAGGATTCTTTAAATGCTGCCATATGAGATCCCTGTGACCTCAGCTACATGCCTGATGGTCATTCTTCGATCTGCCAACACAGCATCTTCGACTTTTTTCACGTTGTCTTCAGTGAGGGACGTGGATGGGCGTCCTTCGCGGAGTTCATCTTCAGTGGATGTTCTGCCCAGTTTAAACTCCTTGGCCCAGCGTGGAACTGTAGAATATGGAGGAGCAGAGTCTCCCAATGTTTCCACTAAGTCACTGTGTATGTCTTTTGAAGACATTTTTTTCAAACAGAGGTACTTGATGACAGCTCTAATTACGTTTTTCTCCATGTTGATGTTATCTCTTTGACAGTTCGTATTCAAATGAATGTATTTCCCGGAAATCGTGATCTATTTATATGATTTTTTTTAAGCTGACGTAGTGAGTATATAAGCAAGCAAAAAATATTTATTTTGGATTGTTATGCGGACCTGAAGTAACCGATTATCATTACTTTTGGATCACCCCTCGTATATACACACACACACACACATATATATATATATATATATATATATATATATATATATATATATATATATATAAAAGGTTGCCGACCCTGTGATAGTGGATATTCTTACACCGTCACTGCACAATCCACTTTTCTATGCTGCTTGCCATTGCTATATGGGAGAATGTTTCTAGTGCAAAGTTAAGTTTGTCCTTCAATCCAACTTACTTTTGTTAGAGCAATAGTACTTATTTTTACAAAAACAATTATCAAACTGTTTATACTGTTATATATTACCCTATTGTATATAAACAAATCTCAATAAACAAAGATAAATCTTTGTCAATTTACAGCTTTCGTGAATCTGAATCCAAAAGTTGTTGAGACTCGATTCTCGGGATAGATGAACTATGTACATTCTTATTTAAGTTTACGCTGAACCCTCACTTTTGTCCGGTGTTTATTATTGTTTGAAGTTGTTGTCTGGAAGATGCTGCCCCCCGATCTCCTGTTTCAGTTTCCCTCTGCCCCTTTTTACGACATCTGCGGGATGGCAGAGGGTAGTATGGGTTCTCCTACTCCACCACTACAGTGGCTTTTTCTCTTATTTGAAAAAATTATTTCCTTTCAGTCAATACCAAAACCGCATAAGGTTAGAGGTGAGATTAAATTCACACCAATTTATCATATAGATATCTGGCCTGTAGAGTGTGATATAGACAATGATTGCAAGGACGAAATTTTTTGCCTTGATGCCATTAAAGTTGAGGAAGAGATTTTCGAATATGAGAATTCCAAATTTGAAGAAAATGAGAATCATGAAACAGGTAAGATATAGCCCTTTTCTGGATATTATTAAAATAAGGTACAATTTACCTTATGGCAAGTGGTTACTGTAGCCCGTAGACACAAGATAAAGAGGGCTTCATGTGTAATGTACTGATTAACTGATTTGCCTTTGTCTAAATTCAAAGTGCATGTCAAAAGCACTCTTATTAATACATTAAAAAAATATTTTTAACCTGTCAGCTAGTATGTATGTCACTAAGATACATACTGGTAAGCAACCAATTATCTTTGCCATCTTCTTAGTGTCAGTACTAGGTGGTGTGACTCCATGTTTGCCTAGGAGTTGATCTATTTGTGCCTGCCTAGATGGACTCCTCCCTCCTCCTCTTACCTATTTCTGCCGTCAAATAGCAGTGCGTGCACTGCTGTGTTCCATTCTGATGGGTATTGAGTCAGAATAATCACAGGCTGTGGGTCATTCCATTTTAGTTGTGGTAGTACCATGCTGCAGCTACATTAGTAGTATAGTTATAGCACGAATGGGTCGGCTCGACCGGGGAAGGACCACGCTCTCACAGAATACCAGTGTGAAATAACAGCTTAACACTGCTGTGTTTTGTATGGTGATTGTAGGGAACGGGATACCCTTTTTACTGGAAAAGAGGCATTCCATCGTAGTCCTCATGGGTGACAATGCATCTGCATTTTGATTCTTTATTGAGGACAGATGTAGATGTCTATGGGTCACAGCGACCATTTACCATCGTGTGGACTGTGTGCTCGTTTGTCACCCTATTCTATAAAAATTAAAATTAAAAGATGAGCGCATTGCATCATTAAATCTTCATCATTACAGCCTTCACAAGTCCACTGCTGAACATAGGTCTCACCCACGGAATGCCACAAAGCACAGGAATCCATCGCCTTCCTGCATTTCTTACCAGGTCATCATTCCATCTAATGGAGGGCCGCCCTACACTGTCTACTGGTACGAGGCTGCCACTCGTAAAACTTCCTCATTCATTGTCATTTCTTCGAGCTATATGGCCGGAATTTCAAATTTCAAAGAATTAATTCAGCTTTTGAAACCATGATGTTGAAAGTAACTACTACTACCGTGCTTGTGTTAGTGATCGCAACAATTATTTTTAAATAAAACTAATTTTACGGATTTTATCGCGTATATTAACTTATTTTTATATTCCCGACGTTTCGGGTGCTTTCCAGCACCCGTGGTCACGGGGGACTGAGTTGTTTGACGTCCTGCTGTCATAGTTAGCCCGGCTACCTTCAGTTTTTTAATATTAATTTTTGGTTCGATTTACGCAGAATGAGGTTACAGTATCTTGAAGTCTAGCAGTGGTATACTTGGGTTTGGATTTGATTTTATTAATTATGGGATCCCAAGCAGATGGCAGCACCCATCCATCTTCTCTATTGAAATTAGGATGTTTTTTAATTTCAATAGCCTCGCGAATCATCCTTGGGAGGAATCGGTGTTCTTTTGCGAGGATTTGTGGTCTATCAAATCTAATGTAATGGCGGGGACGATCTTCAGTGCTTCACGTCAGCTATATGTCCTTTAACGCGGTTTTAATAGATCTTTTTGTTTGTCCTATGTACGAGAGACCACACTCACAATCCAGCTTGTACACTCCTGCATCTTGTAGAGGGATATGACACTTGACGGATGGTAAAAATTGACCAATCTTCTTCAGCGGCTTGAAGTATGTTTTAATGGAAGCTCGCTTCGAGATGTAGCCAACCTTGTCTGTGACTCCTCTGACATAGGGTAGTACAGCAGGCACACGCTCGACTGTGGCTGGCTTCACTCGGTCACTGTGACGTAGGCGCGGGACCCGAAGCTTGTTGTCTTGCAGTACTTGCTCGACGTGCTGAAGCTCGGCGGCCAGATGTTTTCTGTCACAGATCCCTCGTGCTCTCTGAAACAAAGATTTTCCCACGGTAGCTAACTGTGAAGGATGATGGTGAGATTCACCATTTAAATATCGGTTGGTATGGGTATTTTTTCTGTACACAGTATGACCAATAGTGTTATCAGGATTTCGGATGACTAAAACATCTAGAAAAGCTAAAGTATTGTTTGCCTCTAACTCCATTGTGAATTATATTTTAGGGTTTATGGAATTAAGGTGGTTTAAAAATGCCTTAATTTACTTAATGCTTCTGCGTTTCGTCTGGTGTGTGCAGGTGGCCGGAGGCCCAATTCCCCCCCCCCCCCCCCATCAACATGGTAGCGGAATTACACGCTAGACTACCCCAGGAGGGTACCACTACCCCTGGAGAATCCCTCGCTGAGCATCCACGACCATGTTATTCCAATCCTGAAGGTGGGTGCTCAGGCTGCCCCGCGTATTCTGGGGGGGGGGGGCAAAATCCCACTCAAAAACATAACTGCTCGGGGCAAACTGAGCAACAATACCAAGGCGACCCCTGCCACGCTATCCGTGAATTTCTGCAACATCAGGGGACTTCACTCTAACCTAAACGCCGTCCATTACCATCTCGAGACGGCGAAGCCGGCCTTGCTCTTTCTGACCGAGACGCAGGTTTCCTCTCCGGCTGATATTTCGTATCTCTCCTACCCGGGGTACAAATTGGAGCACTCCTTTGTGACTCGGGCTGGAGTTTGCGTGTATGTCAGAGAGGACATCTGTTCTCGACGCCTCGGCAGTCTTGAAGGTTCGGACCTGTCCATCATTTGGCTACGCGTAGACAGCGACGACCATCCGCGCGTCTACGGGTGCCTCTATAGGTCCCATAGCGGTAATGCCGAAACAGACCGACTCATCGACCACGTCCAAATGGCTACAGATTCCTTGCTACAACAGGTCCCATCCGCAGAGATCGTGATCCTTGGCGATTTTAACGCCCACCATGCCGAATGACTCGGTTCACATTTAACCGATCATGCGGGGAGATCTGTTTATGACTTTGCCTTGGCATATAGTCTGACACAACTGGTTACTTCGCCTACGCGGATTCCAGATGTGGAGGATCATACACCTTCCCTGTTGGACCTTCTGCTGACCTCTCATCTGGACGGATATCAGGTTTCCGTCGATGCCCCTCTCGGCTCTTCGGACCATTGTCTGATCCGGAGTGTGGTGCCACTCACGCTCCCTTCGCGGTTGCGTTCTGCAGGTTGCCGCCGTGTTTGGCATTACAGGTCGGCGGATTGGGACGGAATGCGGTCTTTCTTTGCATCCTACCCATGGGGGCGGGTTTGCTTCTCGCCGGATGATCCCAGCGCTGTTGCTGACGCAGTCACTGATGTGGTGCTACAGGGAATGAACTATTTATTCCATCATCTGTGGTACCCATCGGAGGCAGATCTCAGCCTTGGTTTGGTCGCTCCTGTAAGACTGCATTACGCAGTAAGCAGGAGAGTTATCGAGCTTGGGCTGCGGCTTCGGCGACTCGGGATGTAAACACCAGCACACTTAAAAAGAAGTATAACTTCGCCTCCAGGTCCTTCAAAAGAGTTATTTCCAAGGCAAAGTCAGAGCACATAGGCAGAATTGGCGAGAAACTAGTTCGCCTTCCTTCGGGAACCCGTGCATTCTGGTCTCTCGCCAAGGCTGTCCAAGAGAATTTCTGTAAGCCATCACTACCATCTCTGCACAGGGAAGACGACTCACTGGCCCAAGACGCAAAAGACAAAGCTGACCTTTTAGGCTCCCTTTTTGCGTCCAACTCGATTCTTGATGACGGAGGGAAAACACCGCCGACCATCCCGCGGTGTGAGTGCTCCATGCCGGATGTGCTGTTCTCACAGCGCTCGGTTCGCAAAGCACTTCTCTCCCTGGACATCCAGAAGTCGAGTGGGCCTGACGGAATCCCCCCAATTGTGCTGAGCACGTGTGCTCCGGAGTTGGCACTGGTCCTAACGCGTTTTTTCCGGTACTCCTACTCCCAAGGCGTAGTCCCGAATTCATGGAAGACAGCTTTTGTCCACCCGATCCCTAAAAAAGGCGACCGCTCAGACCCGTCCAACTACAGGCCTATTGCCATCACCTCCTTGTTCTCCAAAATAATGGAATCCATTATATAATGGAATCAATTATAGGTCTGTGGCGGCGCTGTCCTCGCGCCACAAGCGAAATACATCGAAGCCTAAATCGCGCTATCAAAGTTCCGAAATTAAAGCAGCATATATAGAATAGCTCCGAACTACCAATCGGAGCGTTGGCCGCTCCCCGGGCAGAACACCTTGCCCGGCGGGAGATCTCCCCTTTTCCTTCCACCCGCCATAGTGGTGACCACCGACGTGATATGAACACGCAACCAACAATCTTCGGAAACTACAATTTCAAAAACTTCGTCATCTTACTCAAGTACCCCATTCATTCGCTCCCGAGCAGATATTGTCTGCAGTCTTCACATTCTACCAATCATCTAGCTTTACAAAGGTTCATCGCAGCATTGGAATAATAATGCTTCCAGTTCCTTCAAGCTAATCTCTGCGCTACAGTGTTCGGCACGGCTCTAGAGCCTTACTGCTCGCCTCTGCTTCACGGCACTCTCGCAGATTACTTGCCTTCTTCTCGACTCACCGCAGACTACAAGGCAATCCCTGGCACTTGCTCCGGCTCATCGTTCTCACCGGCATCACTTGCAAGTGCGTAGTACGGCATGCATTACACACCGGCATATCATTCGCACCGGCGTCACTTGCCCTTACGCACACAGCATGCATTCCCCACCGGCATTTAAGGACGCACCGGCAATCGGACGTGCTATCGACCTCCGGTCTGAGCAGGGGGGTGATGTGGCGGCGCTGTCGTCGCGCCACAAGCGAAATACATCGAAGCCTAAATACTGCAACTTTACAAGGCACAGGTTCGGCCTCACATGGAATACTGTTCCCATCTCTGGGCAGGGGCTCCCCAGTGCCAGCTCCTTCCACTTGACAGCATCCAGCGCAGAGCGGCTCGAATCGTCGACGACCGAGCCTTTTCCGATCGGCTCGATTCATTGGCACTGCGAAGAGATGTTGCATCCCTTTGCATTTTCTTCGCATCTACCATGGGGAGTGCTCTGAGGAATTGTTCGGATTAATCCCAGCCGCCAAATTTCACGAACTCACATCGCGGCAGAACTCCCGATACCATCCACACCATCTGGATGATTGGCGGTCCACCACTGTGCGATTTAGAAGATGTTTTCTTCCTCGCACGACTTCCTTGTGGAATCGATTACCATCAGCGATTTTTCCGGACCGATACGACTTAGGGACCTTCAAGAAAAGAGCGTACTCCTTTTTAAAAGGCCGGCAACGCATCTGCAATTCCCTCCCTGGTGTTGCAATTGTTCATGGGCGGCAGTAGTTACTTACCATCAGGTGAGCCGCATGCTCATTTGCCCCCTCTCTTATAAAAAAAAATGCGTTTAAGGTGTCTTACAATAAAAAGTTTTACTTATAATAAATTAAATGTTCAATTCGTGTGTATTATTTCAGAACCATACATCATACCGACAAATCATTTTTCAAAAGCGTCTGAGAGCAAGATTAAATCAAATTCTACTGATTGTAACATAAACGATGTTCGTAAAGGAAACCTCGATTTAGAAAGCCCTACTATTAAATCAAAGCTTAAAGTCGCCAAACACATTTCATACAGTCATAAGACGCAAAAGAACTCAGTCACCACTGCAGTTCGGACACAAGTTGAACAAACTCCAGTACCACAACTAACGGAAATATTTAATTGTGATAATTGCGAATTTAAAACAACTCAAAAACGTTGCATTTTGGCACATCTTAACGCGCACGTCGCTGAACAAGTGTACTGTTGTAATAATTGTGATTATAGAAGTATAAAGAAAGATAATTTGCAAAAGCATATGAAAATACATACTGGAGAAAAATCTTTTTCATGTAATATCTGTGAATATAAATGTATAGAAAAAAATTATTTGCAAAAGCATATGAAAATACATACTGGAGAAAAACCTTTTTCGTGTCACATCTGTAAATATCAATGTATTCAAAAAAGTCATATGCAAACACATATGAAAATACATACTGGAGAAAAACCTTTTTCATGTAATATCTGTAAATATCAATGTATTCAAAAAAGTCATATACAAGCACATATGAAAATACATACTGGAGAAAAACCTTTTTCATGTAATATCTGTGAATATAAATTTATTACAAAAAGTGATTTGCAAAGGCATATGAAAATACATACAGGAGAAAAACCTTTTTCGTGTAATATCTGTGAATATAAATGTATAGAAAAAAGGTATTTGCAAAAGCATATGAAAATACATACTGGAGAAAAACCTTTTTCATGTAATATCTGTGAATATAAATGTATTACAAAAGGTGATTTGCAAAGGCATGTGAAAATACATACTGGAGAAAAACCTTTTTCATGTAATATCTGTGAATATAAATGTATAGAAAAAAGTAAATTGCAAATGCATATGAAAATACATACTGGAGAAAAACCTTTTTCGTGTCATATCTGTGAATATAAATGTATTACAAAAAGTGATTTGCAAAGGCATATGAAAATACATACTGGAGAAAAACCTTTTTCGTGTCATATCTGTAAATATCAATGTATTCAAAAAAGTCATTTGCAATCACATATGAAAATACATACTGGAGAAAAACCTTTTTCGTGTCATATCTGTGAATATAAATGTATTACAAAAAGTGCTTTGCAAAGGCATATGAAAACGCACACTTGAGCACAACCTTTTTTGTTAGAGATCTGGTAAAATATGGGCAATATTATGTAAACGTGTTTTATATAAATATAAAAGTATACTAGATAAAAATCCATTTGTGATAAGTTCCTTATGTAACTGTAGAACGAGTAGAAAAACCTTTCCGTGCCTTATGTGCTAATTGAAACTGCATTTATTCTGAAGAAGCTAATTCAAAAACCAAAGAAGCAACCAAGTGAAATCGAACCTTGAAAAATGTACCGAGTGGTTAGTGGAAACAGATCATACTAGTTTGTTTTCATTTATTCGTTTCGAGATTTATCGTTACCGTTACAGCCTATAAAAGTCCGCTGCTGAACATAGTCCTCCCCCACGGATTGACTCATAAGGGGGATATTTGCCATAGTTGCCATGCATGTTGGGTAGGCAACTGCGGTTTTTTATTTTATTTGTTATTAGGAAGACGCTGCTGCCCATCTCCTGGTTTATTTCCTCCGTCGCCTAGATATAATATATAGATATAAGAATATCCACTACCCCTTATCATCCCGTGTGTGTCGTAGAGGCGACAGAAAGAAACAAATCAGAAGACGTGCAGCAGCGTATTCCTAAGAAAAAAAAACTGTGTTGCCAACCCGCTTGCCAAGCGTGGCAACTATGGCAAATATCCCCCCCTATGAGGCAATTTATGGGGGAGGCCTATGTTCAGCATCAGCAGTTGACTTTAATAGGCTCTCTAACAAGAACAAAATAAACGTCGAAACGAAAAAAGAAAAAACATTAGCAATCAATTAAATTAAAAAAAAACATGGTCTGGTCTGTTTCCACTAACCTCCCATTTGTTTCATATTTGAAAGTTTATTTTTTTTTTTTGGTTTTTTAATCAGCTTCTTCAGAATAAATGCAGTTTCAATTAGCACATAAGGCACGTAAAGGTTTTTCTAGTCGTTCTATTATTCCGTACAAGATGGCTTTTGTAGTCGAGTTATTAATTCATTTCATATTTACACTGTAAACTGTCCAGACTGAATTCGGAGTGAAACTGAAACATTAAACTCCTGCCGTGGCAGCTAACTATAAATTAAAGTGAAAGACATTTACATCACTACTTTTGGTTTTTTTTTTTAAATCTTTGGTTTACTTTGATCTTATAGATTATCTTACGCTAATGAAGGAAATGATTTTGTTATTTATTTTAACGTGTGGACATTGTTTTTATTAGTTTTACCTTGAGTTTTACTAAAAAACTTTGCAGTTTAAGTACTGTAAGGCAGTTTTCTTGCAGAGGCTTTGTTTAGTTGGTGTTGTTGTAAAGTGAAATGTATCTTCACGATTGTTTGAACTTTTTGTTAAATTCTATATAAGTCAAAGACTTGTATACTACTCGAGCGGCAATTCAGAATAAAAACCGTGTGACAGCTGTGGATCGCGCGGGCGCGGGCGGGTAGCCGGCACGGTAAATATGCCACGCGGTTATATTTTCATTTACGACAGTTACTGCTTTTAGGCAAATACGTTACACACTTATATGAAATAAACTTCAAATCACGTTGACAAACTGCGCACATAAATAATGACAGCATATTCTTAGTCACATTAAACAAAATCAGTGTTAGATTGTCGAAAACAACGATCGCAGTTTACAAAACAAAGAACTAGTCTACTAGCCTACGTCACTCCTGGCATCGCTCTATATCTGTTTGTGAAGTTTCATTTCAGTGCTTGGACCTATTCCAACATGAAGCAAATACAAAGAGGAGACGTTCTAATTAAATTTCACTATGTAGCAACGCGTGACAATTTGCGGGGTGAGGGGATGCAAAGCCCCGCCCACTTTACACTATCTACATCTACCGATAAATAGTAAAACTACTCGAATTTTTCCATATCGATGTTGCAATGTAGCTTAGCTATCTTGACGGTGGATAGCGACCTGTTCACAAAATGATTATAAACTATAAAAATAATATTTTGGCGATTAAAATTTCTTTATGTCTGTATGCAAAACAAATTTCAGCACCTTCGTATGATTATTTTACCAATACTGAGCTCTACGTACCTTTATATTTTTAGTTCACAAGACACAAAGTGTCGCCATCTAGTGTCGAATATATTTGAAAGCAGACGCAAAGAGATTTTTCTAGAACTACTTTAAATAAATTAGGTGTAAAATTACTTACAAATGAAATGTGATGCCATCCATAACATCAGAGCGTCTATCTGAGTAGTTTTTACACAATAAAACACAACACTTCATCCTTTTCTTCTTAATACTACGAAAATACACCGGGTTGCGATTTTCAACACTTAAGCGCACAGGACGAGTGCTGACAGTATACTAACTAAGGCTACGCTCACTGTGATGACGTCAGGACCTACTTACAATCACAGTGCACAGTTGCTTGTGCCGTCTCCTGTTTGTATTTGCTTTATGTATTCCAATGACTAGCCCGACAGACAGACTTACAAACAAACATTTCAAATATGTTTATCCATGTCTTAATGGTATGCAAATAACTCGCTCGGTAGCGAAGCTTCCATACAAGCCGAGAAGCCCGGCTTGCCCTATTAATAATATCAACTAATAAAATAACTCGTAAACTGTTTCAAAGCGCTCCTCTGTTCTACACAGGTCGTGACCTCGTAGCCTTATTATGTAACATCAACACTTGGCAGATTGCTTTACTGCGCGATACTGCTGTCATAAAAAAGGAGTTGAGTTGAGCGATTAGTCGTCTCTCTCGCACGCGTGGGCTTTTTAGCGGGCTTTCTAGAAGACGATCGCTCCCTTTCTAACCTGTGGCAAAATGTTCTATAATGAAACATAACTACGATTGTTTATATAGCAATCAGTATGGAGATCAGAAGCCAGGCTTTCAGTGTGAAGTTGTCGAGTGTTTGCAAAGTTCACTTCACAACTTCACATTGCAATGTTTACTCTGTGTGTTTACACTTGAGCGAATGAAACTCGCAATATTGAGTTGGAAATTTATACTTTAAATGGAGGATAATAGTTTTTCTTGTGATGAATTGGAGTGTGTTAAAGCGCTAATCGGCGAGGAAAAGGTAAAATCGAAAGAGAGAAAAGGTAATTTTTTATAAAACTGCTAAAAACATACCTTGGGCTTGCCTTAGTTTGGAGCCCTACCTTTGCCACTAAACTCGCTGGGTTTAAATAAAGCAGTAACTCGATATTACAGACAGACACTTCAATTTTATTTATATGTAAAGACGTAGAAGTCAATCCCTCCAACGTCTTTTCCTTACCGTGTAGTGGCGGTGTAAGAATATCCACTACCCCTTATCTTCCCGTGGGTGTGGTAAGAAGCAACAGAAGGAAACTGACACAGGAGATGGGCAGCAGCATCCCTCTGATAACGGCAAAACTATAATAAACAACTACGGTTGCTCACCCGCTTGCCAAGCGTGTCCACTATGGTCCCATCCAACCATCCCCCATGAGCAGTAATACAAAGAGACGGCCCCCAATCTCCTCAGATAACTCCCAGAAACTCAGAAATACTAATATATCCCGCAGACACTTCTTCTTTTAACACTATCAGATATACGGTGTAAGGGAGACTAACGCAAAACTAAGCACAAAAGATATCGGTGAGCTGAAGGTAGGGAAATTCGAAATAGGGCAACGGAACCCAAGGGGTCGTCGGTTGACCAACTTCATGTGGAAAGAGGAGAGTTCCTCCATGATGAACTTTTTTTTATAATATTATATTATAACGTACCTACTTATTTATTTGGGTGATAAATGTTAATTTAAAATAATAATCATATTTTTCAGCTTGACGATTCATCCATGACCATGATAGATATTCATGGTCCTACTAACCTTTCTTTACCGTCAGAAGAAGTTACATATAATACAAATATTTATACTATACTAATATTTATTTATTTATTCTTTATTGTGTTACACCTTAATCTAAGGATTACAATGGGTGGACTTAATGCCATATGGCATTCTCTTCCAGTCAACCCTGAGAGAATTAAACAAGTAAAAGTTGGTAGGTGTCAGAAAATGTTAAAAGTACTAGACATAATATATTGTATATAAACAAAATATATTCGCATACGTTCTAATATTACTTATATAAAAATAATATAAATTAAGAAAATATTAAATAATAATATATATAATAAATAATATAATAAATATTGTATATATAATATATGAAATAACTAAAAATAAAAATAGAAATCTACGATCAAATGCAGTTTTCCTTAAGATAATGTTGTCGGACCTGTCTCTTAAACGCGTGCTTATTTGGTGCTTTTCTTATATCAACGGGCAGGGCGTTCCAGAGAAGTATTGCCTGAACTGTAAATGAGGAATTAAAGAAACCAGTATTATGCTGAGGTACATGAAGCTTAAGGACGTTAGTGGAACGAGGTTCACGCTCAATAGTTGAATACCGAAAGTGGAAGTTATCTTCAAGATAAGAAGGAGACGTCGGATCATTTAATATAGAACAAAGGGTTAGTAAGACTGGAGCAACGCCTCTGACGAATAGAAAGCCATTTAAGCTTGGAGCGAAAAGCAGTGATGTGGTCGTATTTTCGTAAGTTGAAGATAAATCTTATACAGTTGTTGAGAAGGCGCTTCAACTTCTTAAGAAGATTTTGCGATAGGTCTGGATAGCACACATCTGCATAGTCTATAATAGGAAGTATAAGGGAATTAACCAGCAAAAGATTGGTTTTAAAGGGTAAGAAATTTCTAAAACGATAAAGCGAACGTAGAGTGGCAACAACTTTACGGCTAATTTCCGAGATCTGTACTCGCCAGTTCATAGAGTGATCTATGTGCAAACCCAAATTAACTATGAAATCAGAAAATGGAATTGAAAATCCATTGTACAAAACTGGTTCAAGGTTTCCATAGTCAATCATATTCAGCATTCTGAAGCTACCAACGACCATTGTTTTACATTTTGAAGGATTTACTGAAGCACCAAATTTATTTGACCAGCCACGGACGGCCTCTAAGTTTGTGTTTAATTTCC